GGGGTTGGGGGGGTATTGGAGGGGTGGGGAACTCTAGGGGTTAGGGTTGGCACTAGGGAAGGCTGGGGCTTTTAGCGGACCGGTATCATTTTATTTGTATATTCATTACTTTCTTAAAGAATATGCAAATAAAGGTTAGTGGTCTGCCAAAAGTTTGTGAATGGGTTTGCCGGTCCCTGGTGGTATATAGGTTGGGAACCACTGACTTAGTGGATAGGGCATTGGACTGAGACTTAGGAGACCTTGGTTCTTCTTCCCAGTTCTATTGCTGGCCTGCTGGGTGATTATGGGTAACTCACTTGACCTGTACCTCAGTTTCCTCATCTGTAAAATGCGATACTGTCCTCTTCTTTTAAATATTTCGAGTCTACTTATGAAAACAACAACATTATAAACGTCTTAGGTGATGGTATTATTCATCATATTTTGTAGTAATACTGATCAGGTACAAAGATCTGTTTGATAATAAATATTTCCCCCAGTTTCAGAACTCCAGTTATAAAGAATGACTTCCCACCAAGGTGTCAGGTATCCACTCCATATAACCAAGTTCCATATTTCCAACCACATACACCAGCAACTCCATTTCAAAGCCATGTGGGCTTACAGGTAATGTAATCTGAATTGTATCTCCTTGCATTTAAAAACAAAATTTACCTCTTTCCACAATTTTTCAACCCCATGTTTATCTTGATTCAACATGAGAGAAGTGTGTGTATTTTGTATAGATTTAATTCATCTTTGCATTTGTGTCTCTTGCTAGCAGTAATGAGGTAGAGTTCACGGTTCAGTAATCAGAGAAGTGTAATTGTTTTTACTGCTATACCATTTTTTCTGAAATTCATATTAACTCCATTAGGTTAGGGCTCAACAAATCTCTTCCTTTGGACATACTGTATAACAAAGGAAAATTTCCTGGGAGGAGAATATGAAATCTAAGCTTTATTTTAAAGGTTGAGTGAAGGAGTGGGGAGTTTGTCATCTTCTATGATTGTAAAAGTAGCTTTCCATCTTAATCTGGTGATTAGATACCCGAGAATTTTTTTCTTCTCTTTTTCAAACCCTGTGTATGGGAGTGGGTATGGGGGCAGAGAAATTGATGGAGTAAGTTAGAAAAGAGAAGTGGGGGAGAGGGAGAGTCAGAAAATGAGAGATGGCTATCAAGCATACACTGCAGAGAGAGAAAGGAGGAGTATAATGGGGTGGAATGAGTTAAAAAGGAAATGTTAGGACTACAAAAACAGTGAGATGTGCCCTGATCTATTACCATGATCTGTTATCTGAAGGTAAAAGTGAAATGAAGCTAAGAAAAGAAAAAAATATGCAATGAACCTAGTAAGCTTTTTTAAAAATTACTGAACCAAAGTGATTTTGCTACATGTAAACTAACCACAGTACAATATTGTTTTATTCTTTAAATTCAAGCATTGGCTTTGAATAGATTGGAATGTCATTACAGATATACATTTCAGTTCTCAGATCCTTTTAGTTCTTAAGATATACTAAGTGTTGGGGGGATTTCCGGAGCCCTTTATTAAGTGGGTTTGTAGGGAAGGCAACAAAAGAATTTTGTAATTGTACTGTTGTTTACCAATATTGTTGTAATTTTCATCAAGCAGTCAAGCTGTGAAGAAATTTAAACAATAATAGAACACCGTTTCTTGAAATATTTTGTGTGTGTGCTACATTTTTCAACTATATTGATTTAAATTGCAACACAGAATACAAAGTGTATAGAGCTCACTTTATATTATTTTTATCACGTCTGCACTGGAAAAACATTTTCTAATTGATCTTATACAAATACTGTAGTGGAAGCTCTTTATCATGAAAGAATAACTTACAACTATAGAATTAAGTATAAAAAAACCTCAATTCAAAGATAAAACTTTAGAGTATACAAATCCACTCAGTCCTACCTCTTCAGCCAATATCTCATATAAGTTTGTTTACATTTGCAAGAGAAAATGCTGCCCACTCTTCACTTGTCACTTGAAACATTTTTGTAGCCAGCATTGCAAGGTATTTGTGCCATATATGCTAAACATTCATGTGACATTTCATGCTTGGGCCACTATTCCAGAGGACTCGCTTCCATGCTGATAATGCTTGTTTTAAAATGTGTTAATTGAGTTAGTTACAATTTCTCCCAAAGGAGTTTATTATGTCTCCTGCTCCATGTTCTGCCTGCATTCTACCATTATAGTTCATGTCATAGCAGTCTTGAATGATGATCCAGCATATGTTCATTTTAAGAGCACGTTCATGGCAGATTTGACAAAACACAAAGGGGAAAACCAATTGTGAGGTTTGTAAAGATAGATACAATGCTCAACCCAAGGTCTAAGTGTTTGAAGTGCCTTCCAAAATCCAAGAGGGATGAAGTGTGAAACATGCTTTCAGAAATCTTAGAAAAGCAACACTCCAATGTAGAAACTACAGAACACTAATCTCGTAGCTGTGCATGCGCACACACACACACACACACACCCTTCTGCTGGGAGCATCTCTCTTAGATGATGAAAATGAATATTTTCCCTTTGGACCCATTATTAAGCAGGACAGTCATTAGCATGGTCAGATGTCCTGTGGAATGCTGATTGAGGCGTGAAAGGACATATCAATCTTTAGCAAACCTGGTATGTAAATATCTTGTGACAGCAGCTACAACAGTGGCATGTGAAAATCTGTTCTCAATTTCAGGTAACATTGTAAATCAGAAATGGGCATCATTACTTCTTGCAAATGTAAACAAACATGTTTGAGCTAGTGACTGAACTGGAAGTAGGATTAAGTGGATTTGTAGGCTCTAAAACAGGAGTGGGGAACCTTTTTTGGGTCGGGGGGCTGCTGACCCACAGAAAAATCAGTTGAGGGCTGCACACAAGTGAGAAGCAAAAAACCGCAAAACAAACCCTCACTGACATGTCCCCCAACTGAGAAGGAAAGACACTCCCCATGTTCTCATACGGCAGAGCCTTGGAAGGGCCAGGTTAGTAGATTTTGTGTGCTGTAGCCCCATGGATAGGGGGCTGAAGCACTATCGCAGGCTCCCCAATACTGGAGGGGAGCCCTGAGCCTCGAGAGCGGGTTCCAGGCAAGCCATGGGCCATATCCAGCCCCCAGACCTGAGGTTCCCCACCCCAGCTCTACAGTTTTACATTGTTTTGGTTTGAGTGTAGCTATGCAATCTACATTTGTAAGTTGCACTTTCAGGATAAAGAAATTACACTACAGTATTTGTATAAGGTGAATCTCAAAATACTATTTCCTATTATTTCTACAGTGCAAATATTATAATAAAATAATATAAAGTGAGCATTTTACACTTTCTATTTTATATTGTGACTGAAATATATATGGAAATATAGAAAAATGTCCAAAATATTTGTCAGATGGTAGTCTGTTTAGTGGTGTGATTCCAATTGTGATTAATCATGATTAAAAACATTAATTGTTGTTAATTTTTTTGAGTTAATCATGCGAGTTAACTGTGAGTAATTGACAGCCCTATTCATAAATGTCACTGTCTAAATATACGTGATCATGCCAAACAGTAGTCTGCCAGTTCCTTTAATTGATAAATTCAGATAACCTTAATTTAGTCAAGAAGATTTCTCAACATCTATATTTGAACCTACCAGTCACTGAAATGTAAACTGATGCCCCAGATGTGTTTTCATAAAACAAGTGCCATGCTATTGCCTCATTAACTTTTTTAAAACGAGTACATATTTTAGTATTCAGAAGCAAACTTTAGTTTAGAATGACCCAGTGACATATCTCTAGTTTGGTCAACAAGGTGTATGTATATCTATTAAAAATAATTAACTGTTCTCTAAATCTGTCTACTCAAATACCATCTTAGGGAATGCCAGAAGTAAGATTGCCCATGAAATCCTTTATGCATATATATTATATAACAGAATTAGCTTGTTTCCCCCACCCCCACCCACGCACGCATTACTCCTGTTCAGGGATTGGAATGTGTGTAAGACAGTTAGAATGTTTACAGTATTAATGAGCAGGCTTCTGGGAAGTTTCACAGCATCTGCAAAAATAATTTTCATTTTCATTTTTCTGTATGCAGGTTTCAGCTTCTGTGCCTTCAAATGAATGCCTTACTGTTAAAGGAAAAGTGTACACCGTATTAAAACAAATAGGTAGCGGTGGCTCGAGTAAGGTAGGAGATTTTTTTTAACCTTTAAGACTAATGGAGCCCATTATTTCTAATATGACTATTTCTGTTCAAATTTGTAAATCCATGGGTATCAAACAGAAAACTCATTTGCCAGAGACAAGCTGGATGCTACATTAGGGGTCCCGCATAACACATTCAGATTCTTCAGCATCTTACTTTCTATATCAAGTGAAAGCTTAGTATCTAGCTTAGTTTCTGGCTGCAAGAAACATTACAGATGTGAGCAGATTTTAACCATTATAGTAGCATCAGCCTGAATCTGCAAATAGCTTGCACCAATTAATGGTATGAACATGTGGCCCCTATTAGTCTAATGCCAATATTAGTTTTCAAGCCCAGGGATTATTTGTTAACATTAACATTAGCCATTTTAATCATTGGTCACGTTAGTGGGTGGAACAGGAGTAGTAGGTGAGAAAGAAGCTCTTTGGGTTCAGAACTAGGAGAAGCTACAGGGAAAGAAATGCAGAGGAGATATAGATAGACAGATATAATATGCACCTGAAAGCTATTGCGCTCATTTTTAGGAGTTAAATTTTTGAAGGCTTCTTAGACATACCAATGATAAAAAAATATTTATCTTTCTAAGACATCTGTCTCCTGGAGTTGCTAGTGCCTCTTCCACAAGCTAGCAATAGACACATCAAAAGCTAAGTATGGGACACTTTCAGCCCACTCAATTAGCCTCTTTAGTACCGGCACTACAGTTGACAGGTATTTTTTCTCTCCCTTTTTTTTCTGTTGTATATTCTACTTCTCCACTTTTTCCCCCATTCAAACTCATTTGAAGAAGCAGGTTTTGCCCACGAAAGCTCATGATACTATATATATTTTTGTTAGTTTCTCTAAGGTGCCATAGGATTACTCATTTTTATAGTTGTTAATTTTAATTTAGTTTGAGGGTTGGATGGTAGTGGGGTCTTCCCCTGTTCCACTTGTCCCCTCTCACCCAAGTCACAGAGATTCAAGCTGCACAGCTTCTGTGCTAAGTCCATGCCAACTGGTGATCCCCATAACTTGTGTGTCTGATGCCTGGAGGAGGCTCACCAGTTGAGTAAGCACAGGATCTTGGTCATTCAAGTAGCAGCACAGGAAGGAGTGAGACTTTTTTGTCTCAAGCAGCTCCTTGTGGAGTCAGCGCTACAAGCCCAGCAAGATCTGGCGCTGAGTAGGGATGTAAGGAACTAGTCAAGTCTCTACTCGCATACACACCTCTTGCTGCTTCTGTATCAGAAGCAGCAAGGGGGGGGTGCGATCGGCGCACCTTAAAAACTGGTTCCCCCCAGCACTGTCTCTGCGGTGTGAGGAGAAAGGAGTAGAGGAGGCAGAGACACAGCGGTCTGGGACCTGGCGCAAGCCGGGACTACTGAGTCTTGGCTCGAGCCCGGTCCTGGACCTACCCTCACTGCGGTGTCACAGCAGGGCCCCTTATCGACTAATCGTGTACTTGATACAAATGGTATCTCAGTACAGCATTAGTCAGTTACCTGCTTCTTAACATCCATAACACTGAGCGTCTCGGGCTATAGTGTTCCTCTGTTAGTCCTGGGGTCAGCGCGTGGGAAGGACTCAGGATGGCATGGCCAGCACTGCTGATTTCTGGCACTAAAAATCTCAGCATGTTGGCACCACTCTCACTCCCTGGCCCAGCGCAGCAAACCAGCAGTGCGCACTCCCCTGGCTTCACCTTCACTTGCATCTCCATCTTTTTAGCTCCTGGAGTTGCTCAAGAGGGCTAGCCAGTTGCAGATGTCCCACAGGATTCACACCCTGTGTTGCTGGACTTATCGCCTGTCTCGGTTGGGGTATGTGGCAGCCCCTCCCCTCTGGGCAGCTTTGAGGCTGCCAGAGGCATCAAGATTATGACTCCAAAATCGCCAGGTGCTGTGGATATGCTGCTCTGAGTCCTGACACCGCTTTTGCAGGCGTTGCCAGTCTGTCTTGCAGCATCCGTCCATCCTTTAGATTCTGCTTGAAGTTGCACTTGGCCAATAGATCCTGGATGTGCTCCAGATCTTTCTCATGGTCCCCATATTGTTGGTACCATTCTTCCCAGTACTGGTCATGCTCTTGGCTCCTAGTCCCATCACTAATCTTCTTCATGGTCTTCAAGATCCTGAGGTTGGTGCTACGCATCTCCTACTGGCACTGATTGCCACTCTGACTCCTACCACCACTGCAGGTCCAGGCAACACTCGTTCCCAGTACCAATCAGGATCCTGACAATGGTTGTGGTCAATGTTACTTCTAATTTTTTCCATCTATGTTTAGAATAAATGTTATGTGCACCAAGGCATGTGCAGATATGCACCACCAATAGATACAGCTGCCCACAGCCCACCAACATGTGTGGGTGCTCTGCCAATCAGATGGGTGGCACCTGAATTTCTCATGGGCAGCAACACAAGTGCACATCTTATAGGGGATGCTGGTCCCAACGCCAATCCAGGTCTTGAAGCAGGTAGATCTCTGGCAGTTGATCCCACCTATGGCACCAGCCCCTTCCAGTGATGCCCTTGTGTTTGACCTTTCCCTGGTTATCTCACTCCGTCTCCCATTCTCAACCTTCAGATGTGGGTTCAGGAGCTTCTGAGGCGTCAATACTGCCCAACCCTCACCAGGATACTCCTGTCACTCAGTGGCAGTTTTGGACACCAAGGGCATACCACTAATCCCAGGGTACCCTGCCAAAGGCTAACTCCTCAGTGCCACCTAATCCCGGGGCCCAAAATCCATGGTGATGATGGCATCTTTCCTCAGATGGCAAGGCATGCGTGTTTACTCATATTTGAATGATTCACTCCTCGGGGGGTTGGTTTCACCTCCAGGTGGAGGAGATGCCTGCCTCTCATGTTCAACAAATGGAAATTGACTTTCATACCTATGCAGTGGATCAAATTTGTTGGCATGGTCCTCAGTACCACACAAGCTCATATGTTCTGCCAGAGCACTGCTTCTTGGCTCTTTCCCAGTTTATAGAGTCTCTCGTTTGCTTCTCTATGACCACAGCTGGGCCTTGCCTCAAACTACTAGGTCACATAGAAGCTTGTACATATGCCAGTCTGTTTGCCAGACTCCATCTCCCAGCTGCTGCAGTTGTGGCTGGTGGCAGTGATGTTCTCTCTCAAAGTTCTCCATGAGCTTTGGTAGTGGCTAGATCCAACAGCGGGTCATGCAGGACGCCCCTCCCACCTTCCACAGCCCACACTGCGCCTCATTACTGGTGAGTCTCCTTTGGGCTTAGGAGCACATCTCTACAACTGACCACATAGGCGTTGTGGACAGTGGAGGAATTGTCCCTCCACATCAAGGTCTGGGAACTCAGGGCGATGCATCTCACTTGCTAGGTGTCTTTGCCACACTTTTGGATCCAGAGTGTGACGGTCATGATGCACAACATGACCACTACGTACTATATCCACAGGCAGGGCAGAGCACGGTCATCACCATTATGTTAGGAAGCCCTTCAGTTGTGGCAGCTCTACTTCACACTTGGGTGCAGAACTGACTGGCAGACCACCTCAGACAATGTTTTGTCTCACGAGTGGTCTCTCCAGCTGAACATGGTTCACAACATCTTCCAGAGGTGAGGGTTTACACTGGTAGATCTCTTCACAACCGGAAACAGGAAATGCCCTCAGTTTTGCTCCTTCAGGGGGCTCTGCCTGGATTCCCTGGCAGATGCCTTCCTGACTCAATATTTTAGAGCCGTGGTCCCCAACACGGTGCCCGCGGGCGCCATGCGCCCGCCAGGTGCTCAGGGCTGGCCTGGCACCGGGCGCAGGGCGGGGGGAGCGCTGGCCCCAG